TGTCTTATTTTCGGGGAAACAGGGTAGCACTTATAAATAATGCAATCAGTATCTAGCATGACACTGTGAGCAACACTCTAACAGCAGAGGACCCAGTGGAAATGCAAGAAGTACTGTGTGTGTACATACGTACATGTACCCACAAAGGTTTTGGATCCTCAATCCTAAATGTCCTCAATGTTCAGGGAAGCTCAGATAGGTGCATCTCCTTTCCGACAGTTTGCAGACAAATTAGAAAGTGAGAGTCGGCATTTATTTTTGAACTCTGGTATAATTTTAAGCAACTTTTATTACTGTACAATGCAAACAAACCTCACACCATGACAATGATTAGTGATGGGTGAATCTCAAGAGTGTGGGGACTTTGGATGTATTTGAATAAGCAATAGAGCGTTTTGATTCTTTACTGAAGCTTAGCCACAACTGTTAAGTCTATGAAACCAGTCTGGAAATTTTCTGAGAAGAAATTTCCTCATGAGATTTCCCCTTTCCAGTCAGGCCAAAATGGCTTACCTTGCAGTATTTCAGAAGTTCTGATTCCAGTCCAGATGTAATATAGTGACAGAAGGGTAAAAACATGAATAATAGAGGGTGGAGGATATCTAAGTTTTTGCAGCGCTCAAAAAGGTTCAATTTCAGGTTCAGATGTGGGGTTTGTTTTGACATCTGATCTAGCTCACTTGTTCCTAATGATGGCACAAGCTGCTAGGTAACCAAGCAACCAATCAGTCAAATATCTCTATACATAGGGCTGATCCACACACACTTAGAGCTACGCTAAGTTCCTCCTGAAGCCACTTTGCTGACTCACAAAATGGAGTGGTGCAAAACTCAGCAGTTTCACTGTGCGAGAACTGATGCCAGGACCACTCCGTGGGAGTCCTCCCTTTGTTTCTCCCGTAAATCCTTTTTAAACCCTGGCTTCCTCACCTCTATCCCTTTGTTCTGCTGCTGGAGGTTTTCCATTCTCCAAACCCCAACTCCCTGCAGAGAAGCTGAAGGATCTAGTTCTCCTAGCTTTTGCCAATCCCGAGTCCCAAGTGTTTCCACCTAGACAGGAGACCAGTAAGGTTTAATGACAGGCCAGTGTTCCTGGTCTGACAAGTATTTAACACAGCCCCGATTCCTGGCTGACTCACTACACACTGAGACAAGGTAATTAATATCCTTTGTTGGACCAACTTCTGGTGGTGAGAGAGATGAGCTCTCTAATATCCTGGGATTGACATGGCTACAACAACATTCATTATACATTGACAGGTTTCAGAGTAGCAGCCGTGTTAGTCTGTATCCGCAAAAAGAACAGGAGTACTTGTGGCACCTTAGAGACTAACAAATTTATTTGAGCATAAGCTTTCGTGGGCTACAGCCCACTTCTTCGGATGCATAGAATGGAACATATATTGAGGAGATATATATATATACACATACAGAGAGCATGAAAAGGTGGGAACTACTGACCGCTATACTTACTACATGCCTCCAGCTTCCATCCAGGACTCACCACACTATCCATCGTCTACAGCCAAGCTCTAAGATACAACTGCATTTGCTCCAATCCCTCAGACAGAGACAAGCACCTATAAGATCTCTATCAAGCATTCTTAAAACTATAATACCCATCTGCTGAAGTGAAAAAACAGATTGACAGAGCCAGACGAGTACCCAGAAGTCACCTCCTACAAGACAGGCCCAACAAAGAAAATAACAGAACACCACTAGCTGTCACCTTCAGCCCCCAACTAAAACCTCTCCAGTGTATCATCAAAGATCTACAACCTATCCTGAAAGATGATCCTTCACTCCCACAGATCTTGGGAGACAGACCTGTCCTTGCTTACAGACAACCCCCCAACCTGAAGCAAATACTCACCAGCAACCACACATCACTGAACAAAAACACTGACCCAGGAA